AAAAAAAAAAAAAAAAAAAGACCGGCTAATTAAATGTTTTTAATGACATATATTTTAGTTTCTTAATCTAGTTCAAAATTGTACTAATTAATTTACCAGACAAACCACAAGGGTTGGTGGTGTATTTTCATATTTGCTATTTAATCAAAAGCATAAGAATTTATCTCTGTTTGTGGACTCTGATTTCCGTGTTCATCGAAGTGTAAAAGTGGATAGAGAATCTCAAGTTCAAAACAACCAACCTATAAATGGTCCAACACGACAACTTAAGCCTGACTCACACATGGGCAGAGGTTTCGTAGTCAGGCACATGTCTGGCTCAAGCTATAATAAGTATGTTAGAAATTGGGTGTGAATCGAATTTCTTGTTGAAGTTAATTAAGAATTTTAATTGAAGTGAACATCAAGAAAAATTCATTTTTTTGGAATTTGAGATAATTTTGTAGAGTAGTGCTTGAATTCATTGGAAGAGGTAGAGTGTTGTGTTTTGTTGGAGAAATTAATTTTTGGTTATTGTTGAAGAAACCGTTCATTCCTTGGTAGAATTCGTCTCAATGTGGAGATTATTAAAATTTGGGTGTGACTCGAATTTCTTGTTGAAGTAATTGAAGAATTTTAATTGAAGTGCACATCAAGAAAAATTCAGTTTGGAATATTATTGGAGTCCTATGTCAAATTAAAGTTCGGGCTCGACTCGAATAAAAATGGTTCGGGCTTTTTTTTGCCAAAAGTTTGGCTAAAAAATTTAGGCTCGACCCAAGCTTTCGGCTCGAGCTTTAACAAGATGAGCCGAGTCGTGCTACCTTAAAGCAGCTACACATAGCTACCTATTAAGACTGCAGTAGTTGCCTACAAGGCAGCTACTACTATTGCCTTAACAAGCAGCCAAGCGTAGTTATTTTTTAAAAAATATTTTTAGGCTCGGACTTTTTTCGAGCTAAGCCACAAGTTGACCGTGTCAGCGGGCCAAATTGACACTCCCACATTAAAGATAACATCCCCACTGATTAGCACTTTACTTGTTTCTGGACACCATAACTTATATCCTTAAATGTTGGGCTCATAGCTAAGAAATACAGATCTAGTTCCAATTTTCCATTATCAATATGAGCATAGACAGGACATTCAAATATCTTCAAATCAGAATAACTAGCAGAAGTACTAGATCATACCTTTTTAGAGTCTTTTTGTCAGTGGCTGCTAAGAGTGAGTGACTAACAAGAAAACAGGTTATAGAAATAACTTCAACCCAAAATGACTTAGGTAAACCAACATTGGAAAGCATGCAACGTATTTTCTCTATCAAATTTCTATTCATCCGCTCTACCACACCGTTTTACTGTGGAGTCTTATGAACTGTCAATTGCCTCAAAATTCCTTTTGACTTGCAGAAAGCGTTAAACTCATTTGAATAATGCTCCAAACCATTATCAGTCAAAAGACATTTTAACTACTTACCTGTCTGCTTTTTAGATACAGTCTTCCACTTCTTGAATCTAGTAAACACATCATTCTTTTGTTTTAAGAAGAACACCCATTTTTTTGGAAAAATCATCAATAACAGTCTGCATATAGTAAGCATCTCCTTTAGAAGATACCCCAGATAGTTCCCAGTGATCAGAATGTATGTAATCAAGTGTTCCATTCGTGTTGTGAATGCCTGTGGTGAATTTAACTCTCTTCTGTTTCCCAACAACGAATTGCTCACAGAATTTCAATTTACTTGTACTCTGTCCATCAAAAAGTCATATCCTGCTCAGTTCAACCATCCCGTTCTCACTCATATGCCCAAGACGTATATGCCAAAGTCTAACATCATCGTCTCACAATGAAGGACCAATGACAATTGCATCACTTGTGATAGTAAAACCCTGCAAGACATATAACTGGGCAGACCTCTGGCCTTTTATCACAACGAGGACAAATTTACTAACTTTCAGGACTGCACCTATACCAGTATATTTTTGCAGCCCCATCAAACATTTTAATTCTGACAATTCCAATACCAACTGTTTTACAAGGTACATTATTTTCCATTATCACAATACCTTTAAAAATTGTTTCATATGATGAAAACCAATCAACGTACTAGTTGAATCAAGAATCAAATCCTCGCAAGGTTTAGAGTTGCTATAAAAAAAACTAGAAGTTATCTATCATTATGGCCATTTTTTGCAAACACTGGATTCACCAAATTTTTTCGATCATTTTTTCCTTTTGATCAGTAGTAGCTCTTTTATTCTTACTAGTGTTGGACGTGTGTTGCACGACTCGACGTCAAGTGTATGTATTGATAATGGTTATGTTGAGATAATTTTTAATCTAAAAAGTGAAAAAGGATAAAAGAAATTGTGCTATATATTTTGGGCCTTCTTTTACTCACCTTAGGCAATAATGCTACAACATTTTAAACAAATTCAATGGACTGTTAAATAACAAGTTCAAATTTGACCGTCGAACTATAAAAGGTAATTAGGTAAGAGCATTATGGCCAAATCCTGATTCAGCAATAGGTCCCTGATTCAGCATAGATTGCTAATACAGTCAGAAGAAGATGACTCTGCAACATTCACAGATTCAAAAAGAGGGTACTTTTCAGGCACAATGCAAAGCATATTCTGACATAATCATATGGATCCTAGAGCCCAAATGTTGCAATGAGAAATTTTTATGTTAATAAGCCATTCAGCAAAACTCCCCATTGTACTCATTTCTTTTCCACATGCGAATTAACATTCAGTTCCATCAAAGTGTAATAAAAGCATATGGCTCCAGATATTGGAATCCTAAGTACTAATTTATTCAAATTAGAGAAACTTTATTTCATGCATCATATTTTAGACAAAATCTGACAAAGGATATTGAAAAGCATATGGATCGTGTTTTGAATTCTTGTCAGTTTGAGAGAAATGGCATTGTACTAAAATAAATAAAAGAACTCTAGGTTATATATGCATTCGACTCATGATTGTTGTCATCCAATTCCACCGATTTGCTTTCCAAATTGTTGCCAGAAACTGCATCTGGAGCAAGCAATTCTTTGCAATACTTTTCCATCCAGCGTGTTCTCACACCTACAAAGGCTTGCAAAAGCTGTAAATCCAAGTTCAAAGGAGTAAAACATTCCATGTGCAAGGGTAACTGAATGTTGAGGTACTCACTCTCCAAATTATTCACTTGAAGACGTAAAAGAATCCACGTAAAGAAAGAAAATCAGTGAATCCCAAAATTGATCAATAATTCCTTCAGAACTCACTCCAAATCACCACAAGAAAGTTTCAATGATCATTAAGAAAAGAAATATTTAAGTTAATTATTTTCACTTATTTTACTCTCTTTTGTTGAACTTTTTTGTTTCACTTAATCTATTATTTCACGTTGTCATGCTCTAACCATTGATGAGGATATAGAAATAACAAAAGGAATAAGAAAATTTTGTATTACTTTTCGGACTTTGAAATGAAATGTTATAACACTTGTGTATTAAATTCCCAGTTCATGGTTATCAGCAATAAAATGTAGAAATTTGAAGCTGCAAGGGTGATTTTTTCCGAAAGATGATAAAAAGAAAATCTGCTAAAACTAAGATACTCCTAAAATCATGACAAACTTGCCAAGAGACTTACTCAACATTCAATGAGGTGCCCATCAGGTCATTCAAATTTCAGAAGATTATTTATAATATCAATGGATAATAATTTTCATAAGCGCGATATTAAGATAGAAATTACCATTCTAATAGGAAGACCTTTGGGGTTATGCAACAATGCTGGGGGTACAAAGTGGTTGCACTGGCTTTGAATCTCCAGATATTTCATTCTGGAGCGCAGTGGCATGTTGTTCTCCAGCTGATTGCACTTCCACGCCTTTAGGGTGATGAAATTTGTAGGAGACGCCGAATTTACACTTTCCGGTCTTCAAATAGAACTGGTTCAATCAAATGAAGTTTAATAATCAGTTATATAACGCAATGCTTTCATGAGAAAAATCTAATATCATACCGCACATGGAAGCTCTGAGGGCCTCTCAGATAATGTGGAGACATAAGCATTTGCTGACTTTAAAGAAAACCACCCTCGGTCCACTTGTTTCCTGATTTTCCATTATAACCTGTAGTCTTGTGACCAGATGCATTTTGATCAAAATTATTGTACCCATCATCTTTAGCATCATCCCAGCCTGCCCAGCTATATATCCCCATACTGGGATGTTGTCCCCTTTGATGAATTTTCTTTCCTACTGTCTTTGCTATCCGAATCATCCCAGGAACCAGAACTGACAGAGTTAAATTGTTGAGTAGATGATAGCTGTGCTCCAGCAGTAGAATTCCATTTTTTAGACTCCTGCCCAAACTCCTGATAGAAACCAGTTC